GAGCCTGCATATTTTTAAAAGATAAAAATGTGTATGTTTGCCTGGTTTTTTAAAAATATTTTGTACAGTTTTCAAACTTTTGGTCTTTCTTGGTTTAAATATGATAGTTTAAGTGAATTATTTTATACCTTGGTTAATTTTTAATTGTATTACAATTTTATTATTGTTTTTGAATCCCTTGGGAATTTAGTAGGAAGAACAAACGGAACATTAATTCGAGAAATTATCCATTTTGTTTTTAAGGAAAACCACAGATCAAAATGACAAAGAGAACTAGCACAGATGGATCATATAAAATGATAGCCTGCCATGTGGAAGGGTTTCCCAAACCAGCAGTACAATGGACTAGCAGTGGAGGTGTCATAAATAAAGCAAGTAATTTTCTCCTTACTTCTTGCATATTCCTTTCAGTCATAGCAAAAGACAAATATTAGAGGCATGCAAACATACCTAAATCCATTCCAATATTTCTTCACACTTCCATCTTGTGTATTCCATTCCATTGTAATTGATTTATTTTGCACATGTCTGTGTCCCAGTTTACCATCCGCTGATGAGGAAATATACATATTTTAATGTGTATTTTTTGTAGCACACAGTAGAGATACATGTTTCAGCTATCAACAGATATTTACAAATCAGTTATGTTCCTTGTGTCTTCCCTTTCCAAGTTAATTTAGTTTCTAGAGGGGTAGTCAGTTAGACTTTCACATCAAAACAGCTCTTCTCTCCTGACACTTTAAAGACAAAGCTAATCAAGTGGTTAATGGCCAATCACGAAACTATCAACAGCTGCAATTCCAAATGTTTCTACTCAGAAGTAAATCCCATGGATTTACTCCAAAGCAAATGGGATTAGAATTACAGCCACCCTCACTGCCTTGATTTCAGGCACTGGCAGTGAGGACAGTTTAGTTATATTAAGACAAGAAAACTTCAGGTAAGAGTGGGAAGGAAAATAATTTAACATTTCATTTTGCTTTTGAAATGAAGATTTAGGATGGTTGAAACCGGCCAGTCAAATCTAGATGGTTCTTCTCACTTTGCTAAAGAGGCTAAGAAAATCCAAAAGAAACAAAATATATCACTTCTTTCCATATGAAAAGAATAATGCTTTCCACTGCTTTTTTAAAATTCAGAGTGGGAAGCAGTTTAAGGCTGAAATCCTAACACCACTTACATGGAAGTAAACATCATTGACTTATGACTTCTGGTTAGGATTGCAGTTATAATACGTATAGGTTGCCTTTGGCAATAGACATCTACTGTATTTTTTGCGCCATAAGGCGCACCTGACCATAAAACGCACCTACTTTTTTTGGGGGGGGGGGAATTCAAGGAAAAAAAATTTATTTAAAGGGAGCGCTGAGCAGAGCCTGAATAGAACATGACCCACTGTTTCAATTTGACCACTGTTGCATGAGCAGAAACACTTGCCATGAGGAATCTTTCTATATCTTCCTTCCAATAGTGCAGAAAGTAGAATGTTCTACAGTGGGAAGTGGGAGAAAATGTGTTGGGGGAAGGCAGATATTAAAATTTAATTCAGAGTTTAAGTTGAGTTTCATTCTAGAAATTTTAGAAAGAAACCTAAACTCCCATGATAAACAGTGTTACCATTTGTGTGTATATACAAAAGTACACATATGCAGAGTACTTAATTTAGATATTTAAGCAAAGCTACTAATGTAGCTTTGCACACACACACACACACACACACACACACACACACAAGTCTTTGTCCTTTCTACAAACTTTCAAAATATTCTCTTTTTCTTTCCAGACAGAGGAGACCAAATATGTAAATGGAAAGTTTATCAGTAAAATCAAAATTGCTCCTGAAGAGAATGTTACGCTGACGTGTATTGCGGAAAATCAGCTGGAAAGAACTGTGACCTCTTTGAACGTATCTGCTAGTAAGTACTTTTATTTTATTTTAAAAGATTTAAAACGGCAAGAGCAGGACTGATGGCTCTTTCATCTTTTCATCTACTTTCACACAAAATATCCATCACTGTCCTCACTCTCTCGTGTGTGGCTCTGTGGTGGAATGTTGTTTACAAGTTGCTTCATTGTCCTCACATAGACAAGGAGAAGGGGGAAGCGTACACTTTGCAACTCATTTCTCAGAACTGGGTTGCCATGGTAAATTTCTGACACTTGTTTCTTTTTCGAGAAGATGCCCAGAAATGCAAAATGAGTTTGGCTACACTAATACACTTCTAGCTGATAAGTCTCCATGCCACAGAAGCCCATCATAAATCAGGCTTTTGTTAACTATTAGTTTTTCATGCACAGCCTGCTGCATTCTGTTCTGTCATTGGTTTTTTTTGGTTTGTTTGTTTTTTGAAAGCTTGTCAGAAATATCTGAGATGTCACCATTACCTTCTGTGCAAGACCAAATAAGTGTTCTAATTAAATTCATCAGTTTGGACACTTGTTCATTTAGGAGCGGCTCAGCCTGCCTATAGCAATCTCTAGGCAGATCTACCTGACATTTTCTTGCTCCCTGGTGTTTTGTAATTTAGATAATGTGACCAGCAAATGACTTCTATGCACGTTTACTTAGCAGAGGGTACCACTGAATTCAGTGGGAGCCACTGTGAAGGTAATGTATGTAGGACTGCAGCCGTAATCAATTATCAGTTCTAGGTGACGAAGATGTTGCCTCAGTGCTTGAGTCAGAATAAATTATCTTTCCAGCTATACCCTGTAAGGTTCCAGATGACCTCTGTAAAAATATACTGAAGACTCCCAGTTTTAATTTTTAAAATGTATTAGTAGCCCTCAGAGTTCAAGATGGGGCAACGTCTGTCCCCCTGTATGGTCAGTCCACCACCCTTTCATGCAAGCAGCCATGCAAGCTTTTCTTTTTTGGTCTGAATAGACCTGGGCAAATGGAAAACCAATGGTCATTTTAAAGAATCAGTCTGGTGTCATTCTGTATTGAGCTATGGCATTCCAGCTGAAAGTATCATACAACCAATTCACCGGGAACGCAGTTCTGTTTAGGGGCTCTCCTCATACCTCCATAAGAGGCTGTGCCACTCATGCACTTAAGTTATTTTGAACTGTTCCCCTGTGACACAGAGCTATGGGTATACCAGACATTTCCACGGTAAAAGTGGAAATCTTCCATCTTAAGCTTTGCATGACACATCCGCAAGTCACTATTCAGTGTCAAATGCCACATCCATGTGTGAGAGGCCAGCCATGCTATGGTGAATTTCTGTGCTGCTGCTTGCTGCCTTAAAAAAGAAAAAAGCAATGGGTTCACAATACCTTGTGGCCATCAGAGGATAATTAGGTTGCTTGTCACTAAGAAAACCAACCACCAGATACCTGTGACACACAACCACATTCCAAGAGGAAATCACAGTAGTAGTGAATTCTGTCTGGTGAATTATCAAGTTTCCCAGATAAAAAAATCTGGAGTTCTGAAGGCTTTGAAAATATACAATCCCTTCATCTGAAGTATAAATTGTGAGGGCTGGGCATAACCAATAAGAATTAAATGCCCAGTTGCTGCACAATAAACAGGTTGGCTTAGAAGACTAATCCTTAGCTATTCATGAGATAATGACCATCCTATCATGAAGCCTTGGCTGGGGAGCTTAATTTCCTGAATTTAGAGAGCGTGCTTTGCACTGTCTTTTCTAGATCCCCCAGCTTTGTAAATCACATCAATTTCTGGGAGTGCAGTTTTTGCAGTTGAATTTGCAGTGGGACTTGCATGGGCATCCCTTCCTGGCCTGTTTATTGACTCCAGCACACACATTGATCAAGGGATGTTTGGATGAATTCACCCCAGGGTGCTAAAGTTTAATCAACTCTCTGTCTACAATAATCAAGTGATGAAAAGTCAGCATGCAGTACAGGGGAACACATAAATACTTCTTCTGACTAAGCATTTGTAAGATTAAACTTGTCATTTTTGGAATAAAGCGCTTTCATATGATACATTATAGATATAAAGTAAGGATTGCTGCCTAAAAAAATAAGATTAATCATTTTGTTGTGTGGCTGATGCTGCATTAAGTATGAACACTTCTGGCTCAGCTGAAAAATAGATCATTTTATTGTTAAATAAATATCAGAGCAGATTGGAAGCTTTGAAGGTGACTTTCATACATCAGCAGCTTTTTTTAAAAAAACACATTTTTCCCACCCTTTTCAGTAAGTATTCCTGAATCTGACGAACCAGAAGAAAAAAGTGGTAAGTACATAAAAACAGAACACCACTTACTTGGCACAGTTAGATTTTTAAAATGTTTTATTCTCTTTCCTTGCCTGCTCCATTCATAGGAAAGAGCAGGCTTCTTTTCTTCTTAAAATAAAATGTTAAATTTTAAGGCTGCAATCCTAAAATAGAGGGAGCAAATTACAAAGGCAGTTTAACTGGCTTATCCAGTCTCTTGCCTATGTATTATAGAGATTTTATTTATTTATTTATTTATTTATTTATTTATTTATTTATTTATTTATTTTTGGGGAGAGATGAGCTTGCTCAGAAAACATATCTAGTCCCCATCCCCCACCCCATCCCTGGTTGAAGAGTGCTGGGGACAGGAGTAATTTGGATCCCAGCCACTTCCTGGATGCCCCCTTTCAGCCTTTCTGACATCTGACTTCAGAGAAGCCAATAAAATTGGGGATCTTCCTCTCCAAAACTGGAACTCTGTCTCAGATGTTGCATATATCCACTATATCCCATGACCTCTAGAAGTCTCTCAAGGGAAATTGCACCCTTAACATATATTTTAAAATTCTGAAAGGATAGCTGCACGTCCACCAGTTTATAATATTACTGGTCTTGGACTATAAGTGAGTGCTAGAAGATATTAAGACTGCCCTACTCAAATGCTTTATTCCAGAATCTATAAGCTGATCCCTCACCTAGTTCTGGAGTAAGGAACACAACCACATATGTAGCATCAGAGCAGAGAGAGAGGATGGTACTCAGCTTTGTTTTACTCAAGAGTACACCCATTGAAATTAATGAACATTGCTAAGTTAGGTCTAATGGGCCAGATTCAGCTCAATAGTAGAGCTACTGGGAGCCAGTGCAACAAGTCCTGCTTGTGCAACACAGCTTCCCCCCACTCTCCTTCCTCGTGCCACCCCAATCAGTTTGGGGGTTGGGGGGTTGGGAGAACCCCCAAAACAGTGAATGGGGGGAGAAGGGAGATTATTCCATTGGGCAGACAGGAATGTTTGCACTGAAGGAATAATTGTATTACTTCAACATTTGCTGTTGAATTTGCAGTGGGACTTGCATGGGCATCCCTTCCTAGCCTGTTTATTGACTCCAGCATACACATTGATCAAGGGATTTAACATATAATTCCACCCATTAATTTCAATGGGTCCACTCTGAGTGAAACCTGGTTAAATACCACCCAGGGTTAGAAGGAAGTTGAATCCTAGTAATTCATAATCTATCTGTGGTCAGTGAGAACAATGACAACAACATTGCCAGCAACAACATAGATTTGTCAGATTTGTCCAGGGATACAAGTTCCTAAAGCCATAGCTCACTAGTGGAGCTTTGCCTTTGTATGTAGAAAGTCATATATATGTTCAGTCCACAGCATATCCAGCGAGGTCTGGAAGAGACTTCTATCTGTTGGCAGTCAGTATAAACAATAATGAACTAGACACAGACCAATAGTCTATGAGTCCATATAAGGCAGTTTTTTATGATCCTAAGTTCCAACATCAAAATTCATTCACTAGAAGTTTCTAAGGTGCTGCTACTCTAAGGTCTAAGAAATCTGCAGTCTGTAGAACTGTCCAAAGATCAATCTCCTGTGTTCTAGAAGCATTTTTTTCCTCTATTCAGAACCAAACAGTAGTGGTGCTTCTGAATGATGGCCCTCATCTCCTGACTTCAATAAGCAAAGGCCGACTTGTATTCCCCAAAATGTACAGCCTATTCAGATCCCATGCTGAGCATGGGATCTGAATAGCTCAATGTCGAAATGCTGCGTGCGCAGATGAGTACGTCCTGAGATGAGGGAAAGTGAGGCAACAGTGTGGCAGCAAAAGCACACACACATACATGAAGCACCTCATGCTCACAAAAAGCACCTCATAATGCAAAAAATGCACAGATACCCTAAACAGAGAGTCAGGAAATGTCACAGACACATTCTTGGACAGAAAGCACCCACATACAGAGTGAGCAAGCATCTGAGACACACACAACCTGTAGAATTCCTCTAAAATTATTTTGCACGGCATTGTCTCAGAACCGCCATCAGATTTAAAGCTGAAATTGACGTATGTGGTCTGCACACTAAAAGCCACTGATCCAGTGCTTGCCAACATCGCCAGTGCTTGCCAGCACAGCAGATGGAACCTAAGGCGTGGATCCTTCTGGATGCTCAATATTTTTAGAGAGACAAACCCAGGAAATGTATCATACATAACCACTTTGTCCCTTGACGTGTTCTGTGCTTTGATGGTGGGACGTTTTAGTATCCTGTGTGAGAATCATGATGGGGGGGGTGGGGCTGTAATTAGATCCATGTTTTTTGTGTCATAGCTGCACTGGTGGAGACTGGATCTGTGACCAAAGCAATCTTTAATTTGATGGCTGTTTGAGAATGGGCTTCCCATGTAATAATATCCATACAAGATATTGATTGTCCATTTCTGATTGATTCTGGGCACAGCAGCCATTTCATGATAGGTGATGCCACCCACAGCAAGTATTTAATAATGGCACTTTCCCTTAATTCTGAATGTGCCCCAAAGCCTAAGGGTAGAACTCTTTGGCACAGACACTTCCAGACTGCAGAAAAAAGGTGAGGGAAGAGAATATTCAGATCAAACAAGTTTTCATGTGCTCCCGTTCACGTCTCTGTTTTTGCAGAATGCTTCTTTACTTTTTATCCATTCCATCAGGCTCCTCCCTTAACTGTCACCTAACAGCAGTCATTCCATCATGCCATAGTAGAGAGAGAACATACACTGCATGGCTTCTCCATTGGCTCAACTGAGATACTAGTAACATTCAGCTCCTCCTCTCCTTGAACTCATTCCATTCCAGCTTCTTGCTTCTAGAACTCTCTAACAATGAACTAGTGCCTGAGTTTGGTTTTTTCCTACCCCCTCCCCAATCCCTTTTCCTATTCTGTCATGACCCCCTTATTGTTGATATTTGTTAACCTGCTCTGGCAGTCCCTTTTCAGCTAAGAGCGGAGTAAAAATGCTTTAAATAAGTCTCTCCATATTTGCCAAACATTGGCAAATCGGGAAAGAGAGGATTCTGGATTTTTTATTTTTTAAAAATTGCTTCTAAACCACAGGTCTTTTTACAGTTAGTAGACTGCAGTTATCTGTAAAAGTTTGATGAAACTTTAGGAGTGGTCCCTGAAATAAAATGGGGCTATAGGACCTTTGTGGAGCAAATGGGTTAAGGATTGCAGCCAGTTAAATCACTGTCAGTACCATAAAATGTGCATGCTATCATAATGCTCTTTTTCGATCAACTTTTCTAGTTTAGAAACACTTTGGGATATGTATAATCTGTAGTCAGTTTTCCATACTTTGTTTGATCAAAACACTCCATCATCGTTTTCTTCTTTTGTTTTAGATGATAATAGGGAAAATGTTAATGACCAGGCAAAGCTAATAGTGGGAATCGTGGTTGGTCTTCTTCTAGCAGCTCTGATTGCTGGTGTTGCTTACTGGCTATACATGAAGAAATCAAAGTAAGACTTCGCTGATAAAATTCTTTAACATTTTATATTTTATAAAAGATACACTCTCTTTGCCAAATTTACTTTATATAGCATTCAGAAAACATAGATAGGAGTGTGGATGTGATCACCCAATCCATGGCCTTCTGTATGTTCATTTATTTTAAACATTTTGATACGGCTCTTCATCAGAATTGATCCCATGGTGGTTTGCAAGGTGAACAGAATACAAATACACTAAAACACAGACAAGGATGAGTCAGCAGTAAAAAGAACTTTAGGTGCCTGTGTAGATTTTGACTGCTGCCTAAAAGAATACAACATGGCTTCCAAACAAGCCTCCTGAGGAAAGCACATTCTAAAGCCAGGCTGCCACAGAGCTGACAATTCCCTCTCTCTAGTTGCCACCCATTTTACTTCTGACAGAGGAGACATATGGAAGGGCACCAGCAGATGACCTAAAGGCATGGGCAAGTTGTTATGGGACTTGGTTCTCACGTACCTGGGTCCCAAGCCATTTAAAGCTAAGGTGCAGATTGAACACTCATGTAGGATAAATAGATACACTTGGAGACTGGGGTAGAGATTAAACCATCTGCCTGCCTCTCATAAGCCCAGTGTCCAAGGCAGTGACAGGGAACATTGCTTGCCCCCTCCCCATATGTTGGGCTACAGCAGCCATCATCTCTGACAATTCTTCACACTGGCTGGAGCTTCTGGGAGTTACAGTTCAACAACATTTAGCAGGCCACAAGTCCCCCACCCCTAACCTAAGGTGGCAGACAGGTTGTGTCCCCACTCCCCTATCTCCCAGACATAAAATTCAACAGGTGCTCTTGAAACCAAGCCAACTCCTACAGTTTACATAAATCCCAATTTTTCATCTGCATAGCTTTTCCCATTGTTCTGTTTATTTGTTATGCTGGAGGAAGGGGGGATGCTGAAAACTAGCTTTTATACATACCAATAAATATGAAACAAAACTGTCACTTTTATAAGTACAGCTTTAGAAAACTCAGACTCCTTGATATGGATGTAGGGCAAGCACGCTAGTTATGAAATATGCAAAAATGAGAATGGAAGCTTAGTCCACTACATTATATACACGAATACAGTCATCCCTTGATAGCCTGAAACATTACATGATGACTGAGGATAGAAAGCAGAATGCTTTTAAATGACTGTTAAGATGGATTTAGATAACCTCATTGGTCATGTAAAGATTACAGTTATTCCATGATAGTCTCAGCATTTGAAGCTTTCATCACACAATGGCATGCATCACATCTCATAAGAATAATAGTTCTCCATGGAACTTCACATTAGCTTTAATCAATCAGAATGTAAATGGATTGTCATTTGGTTGCTTAATCTAGCCTTAGTTGAGCCTTAGTGCACATGAGCTTACTGGAGGCACGAACCTTACAGCAAGTTAGGCTTGCCTCTCATGTAATTCTAAGAAGGAATGAGCAGGTGTGGGGTAGGAGATGGTTGCTTGTTCAGATACTTTCTCCATAGGTAAGTGCTATATTAAAAACAATACAGTTTCAGGTAATATAATGTGGTATAATTAATATCATGGAAGTTGTATTTTCAGTGTATGAGAACTTCTGTTGTTAGGAGCTGTGTATATAATGCATCAAGATAAGCTCTCAGAGCAATGTCAGTAGAATATGTTTCAACTATTTACAGTAGTACCTCAGGTTAAGTACTTAATTCGTTCCGGAGGTCCATTCTTAACCTGAAACTGTTCTTAACCTGAAGCACCACTTTAGCTAATGGGGCCTCCTGCTGCTGCCGCGCCGCCGGAGCCCGATTTCTGTTCTTATCCTGAAGCAAAGTTCTTAACCCGAAGCACTATTTCTGGGTTAGCAGAGTGTGTAACCTGAAGCGTATGTAACCCGAGGTACCACTGTACTTATTTGAAAACTAAGTCCTCTTCTACAAGTTCAGTTTTGATAATATGAATGGCTCTCACTTACTGCAAGTGAACAATTACTTCTTAAAACATCCTAACTAGGGTGATCTTCTAGTTAAGCTTGGGTTTGTTTTTTAGAGAAAAACGGGTTTGTCATCAGTGAGAAAAGCACACATGGACACTCTCTTACATAAATTAAGAAAATTGTCCAGTAGCACCTTAAAGATCAACTAAGTTTGTTCTGGGTATAAGCTTTCATGTGCTTATAACCAGAACAAACTTAGTTGGTCTCTAAGGTGCTACTGGACAATTTTTTTATTTATCTCAACTGCGTCAGACCAACATGGCTACCTACCTGAATCTCTTTTACATGTTGTTGAAAAGGACACATGGAATTTCTCTTACATGTTGTTGAAATGGGGTCTAGAAATTTAAATTCAATGATGACCCGCCTTGCATTTGGGTACTCCCACTGTGGTCTAAACCACTGAGCCTCTTGGGCTTGCCGATTGATAGGTCAGCAGTTCGAATCCATGTGACAGGGAGAGCTCCTGTTGCTCTGTCCAAGCTTCTGCTAACCTAGTAGTTAGAAAGCATAGCAGTGCAAGTAGATAAATAGTTACTGCTGAGGCAGGAAGGTAAATGCTATTTCCATGCACTCTGGCACTCGTCACGGTCCTCTGTGCGCCAGTAGTGATTTAATCATGCTTGCCGCATGACCCGGAAAGCTATCTGTGAACAAATGCCGGCTCCCTTGGCCTGAAAGTGAGATGAGCACCATACCCCATTGTCGCCTTTGACTGGATTTAACCATCCAGGGGTCCGTTATCTTTTACCTTTTCAGGAATATGGCTTGGAGGGGCATTGGAAGTTTGGAGTCTTCCCACAGGAACTACCTTTCTGAAGGCTACTTTCCACAGTTGTTTACCATGGGTTCTGTAATGGGTGGACCACACCCAATATGGAGTCTTGGTTTGGCCGGAATCTCCTGCCGCTTCCACCACTGCCGTGCTTTTGAATCTAGCTGCTGCAAAACCACAGTTTGATTCAAAGCTCCTCCTCACGTTAACCTACCTATTGCAAGGTTGTTGTTTTTCCCCACCCTCTGTTATATAACTCATATCTCTACACCATTCTCTTTATACCAACACATCAGCAGATTGTTACTCAGCGGAGGGAAGTGTGATATCTTATTAGAGCAGAGAGTATTACAGTGGTGCCCCGCAAGACGAATGCCTCGCAAGACGAAAAACTCGCTAGACGAAAGAGTTTTCCGTTTTTTGAGTCGTTCCGCAAGACGAATTTCCCTATGGGCTTGCTTCGCAAGACGAAACGTCTTGCGAGTTCTTGCGAGTTTGTTTCCTTTTTCTTAAAGCCGCTAAGCCGTTAATAGCCGCTAAGCCGTTAATAGCCGCTAAGCCGTTAATAGCCGCTAAGCCGCTAATAGCCGTGCTTCGCAAGACGAAAAAACCGCAAGACGAAGAGACTCGCGGAACGGATTAATTTCGTCTTGCGAGGCACCACTGTATTGTGGATGCTGTGGCTTCTGCTTTGCATGGAGCGGGGCTCATATTCAACCCCTGACATCTCCAGGTAGCTCTGGGAATGTCCCTCACCTGAAACCTTGAAGAGCCACTGTCAAAAGTATGGCGCTTCCCTTGCCTATTTGGACCCTTTTTCGTCCCATCCAATTGCCTGAATTCCTCCGTTGTCTTCATTAGATGGAGCATGAGTGAGACTAGCCCTTTTCCAAGGACAAATATAGGTAGAATCACAGGGAGGAGGGGACTGGGTTCATGCCTGCTAGCTCTGTGCCTCTTCTTTATGCATTGATTTATGCTTTAGAGCTAAACCTACATAAGTACATGCACTACTCACATAGGGTCTGTCTGTGCACTCTGTGTTGAAGATGCTTGAACTATTCATCCAGCAAATAATCTATGTAATATAGGTGGAGAGCAGGATAGAAGGAAATGACGCAAGTAGAAGAATGACTAGATCTTTGCTGCAAGGAGCTTATTTAATTTGCATGCCAAAATTAAATTACATTCCAGGATTTTCTTTCTAAAATTGCAGCCAAATCAAATCTGGCCTTTTCTCTGGTTTCCACATTGCATTTCATCCTGCTTCTTTGAAACATAACAAGTGCCTTGTTTTGCAAGTAGCAGAGGGGTAAGCCAGTTTGTTAGCCAAGGGGAAGGGCCATATCTCAGTGGTAGATCACCCACTTTGCCTGCAGGAGTTCCCAGGCTCAATCCCCAGTATCTCCAGGTAGGACTGGAAAAAGACTCTTGTCTGGAATCCTGGAGAGCTTCTGCTAGTCAGTGTAGGCAAAAGGCTAAATGGACACAGGTCTGACTCAGTGTGAGGCACGTTTCTATTTCCCTAAAGGAACATGACAAACAGCTGCAGCTATAGAGATGTAGGAACTCCTTTTTAACCAAGGATGGGGGAACCTGTTTTCCTTCTGATGTTGCTGGACTACAATTTCCATTGGTTCGGCTGGCTGGTGCTGATGGGAGCTGAAATCCCAACAACTTCTAGAGGACCAGAGATTCCCTATCCCTGTTTAAAGTGCATATTCCTATTCTAGGGAACTATCTCCCTATGCCTAATGTTCCTCCTCTCAGTTAATACTAGCTTTAAGATTACTACCCTATAATTACAAACCTACATGACTCTGTATCACCTTTCTGAGGTCAGGTTCTTGGGCTACAGGGATGCTAACGGTACTACATACACCCACTAATGTGCAGTCGAAAAAGTGTGTGGTATGAAATTATCAAATTACCCTTTCTCTGACCATTACTGCCCTTCATTGGCTGTTGTTTGTGGAAGGCAGGGATAATTATTATTCCATTCATCAGACTGGGTTGCCCCAGCCATTCTGGGTGGCTTCCAACAAATCAAAATGTCAGACATGATCATAGAATCAAAGAAACATAGAATTGTCACATGTTGTGTTTTAACTACATATTATGAGGTTAGTGGCTCTTGTGTTAGCCACTCTCACTATAACTCAGGTGTCTCAGACTTTCCTTGCCCTCACAATCTACTCTTTTAGCTCCAGAACCTGGTTTGGGGGTCTCCATCATCTATAACAGCCAGTAATTAGTTGGTCTTTGTCTCAGTTTCCTTTCTACATGCTGAGATTACTTGGATACTGTCTCTCAAATAGCCCATTCTCCTTTCATTTCAGGTTCTGTCTTCCAGATTCCTTTTCTTAAATGTCTGAAAATTGTCAGCTCCGCCACCTTCTGTCTCCATTGCTTTGCTGGGCTCTTTAGCTATAGGACTAGATCTGTGCCCGATTGCAGCAGTTCAAGCTGTAGACACTCACTGCAATCCAAATGCTGCCATGGCTTCCAGTGTTGTATTGTAGCAAAAGAAACAGCAGTATTGGCCTTTTCTTTGCGCAGTTGACTGCAACAAAGTCCAAAAGAACACCAAACAAGGTGGTCAATTGCTCAGACTAAATAAGAAAAGGAACAATTGGTTTATTTTCAAGATGCTTAAAGCAGATAATGAAGCTAACAGAGCTTAGACAGATTATGTTGGGAACTAAGTGAAATTATTTGTTGTTAAATTATAGATAATTACTATACCTGTCACTTTTGAATAAAGCCTAATAACTTGAATTATCACTGCAGGCAGTATTCTATTTTCAGCATAACTATCTCTTAGTATAAATCATTGTTGCTGCTTTCTGTGCAAAGAGCAGGGGCATATTTATTTAATAAAATGAAGGATTAGAAGCAAATGCCCAAAGTGATGGAAATGTTATCCATTTTGGAAATCTTTCCTGGCACACTCTATCAGTTACAAATTTTGGTGTCCATATAGGCTCCCCTTCTCAAACAGTTTTTGAACCCACCATTGAACAATTATTCACATGATCTCTGTCCCCAAAGGGATGTCAACGGAGAGTCTCAGAAGGAAGCAGCACAGAACATTCAAACCCTCCCGAGGCAAGAAAGTTACTTCTTTATGTGTGTTGTGGTTTGTAGAATCTCTATTGTCTTGTCATACCCCTGTAGCAAGAACTTGATATGTGACCCTGACAGATGCTCAGATTTTAATCTGAAAACAAATATTGAATATGGTTCCCTTAAGGGTGTAGTTATGGTGCTCATAGTAGACATTCGCCCTATTCGGATGTTACACTTGTGTATAAAATCAACACACAAATGGATCGTGGGGCAACACTGATCAGCCCCTCCCCTGATGTGTTACAAACAGCTGCATGCACTAAGTCTTCTACCCAGCCTAGAACACTGATCATGCAGGGTTCTAGGTCAGATGGAAGCCTTCATGTGAACAGCTGTAAACAGGACAGAACCCTCCTCCAGATGTTTGTACTGTATATGTGTATACCCTGTGGTGCAAAGGTTTTCAGCATGGTCCTGTCCCCCCTTGGGTGTTGATTTTACACATGACCATATTAGCAGCATATAGGGCTTATATGCACTCTTAAACCAAATGGTGGGTGGGCATACATTAACCAATTCTGTATGAATGAAATGCTGAAGGCCTACCCTTCTACATCTCTGTTTCTGTCTGCATGTTTATTTAAAAGGTTAAGTGTCAAACCTATAATATAAATGAGGTACGAAGAAATTCCCTGTGTAGGCAGCAGTCAGGTGTTGTCTAGACAAGCGTCCCTTTAGGCATCTTAATTTACAGATCATCTCTCCCAATGAAATGTAATAATACTAAGAATACAGGTCATTCTTCCTTCAGAAATGCTTGTTTTTCATGTGTATGTACACATAAATTGAACTCAACATTTTATCCAGGCCATAGCTGGAACAGACTGGAAGTAGGTTACATTAGGACAGGAGTTGGTTCAAATTAATTTTAGAATATATTGGGATGATGGGGGTTGTGGGGAATGCCTAGCCGAAAATGGAACTGCAGCTACTTTTATCACAAAATGCACGGAAAGGCGTTGGAGCCATTCACCTGGCATCTAAGTTAATTGCTATATCTCAGTAGGGACACAGGTGGCGCTGTGATCTAAACCACAGAGCCTAGGGCTTGCTGATCAAAAGGTCGGCGGTTCAAATCCCCGCAACGGGGTGAGCTCCCGTTGCTCAGTCCCTGCTCCTGCCAAGCTAGCAGTTCGAAAGCACGTCAAAGTGCAAGTAGATAAATAGGTACCACTCCAGCGGGAAGGTAAACAGCGTTTCCGTGCGCTGCTCTGGTTCACCAGAAGCAGCTTAGTCATGCTGGCCACATGACCCGGAAGCTGTACGCTGGCTCCCTCGGCCAGTAAAGCGAGATGAGCTCCGCAACCCCAGAGTCGTCCGTGACTGGACCTAATGGTCAGGGGTCCCTTTACCTTTATCTCAGTAAAATATATTTCAAATGATGCTAATGATACAGAGAGAGACCTGCTGAGCAAGTGAATGATATATAAAATAGTGAGGCAGTTTAACCACACTCTGATCTTCTTAAGTTCATAAGCGTCACATAAACTTGCAGATGTTGTTGGACTACAACTCCCATCAACTCAGCCACCATAGCCAATGTTCTTGGGTGATGGGAATTGAAGTCTAAAGCATCCCCATTGCTACTTTTCAACAGGTTCATATAACTATCCCAATGTGTTTCAAAAAAGAAACATGTTTAATGTTCATGCTTTTCTTCCATACTAAAAACATCACCTGCAGTGCTAATCATACTTACCTAGAAGCGAATCCCCCTCAGAAGCATTGGGATTTCCTGCTGAAATCCTTTTCGTACCACAAATGTTGGGTTTTTTGTTGTTATTTTTTGGAGAGGGGAGATAATTTGTCACCCCCACCAAACAGCAATAATGTGGTATCATTGGAGAAGAATTGCAGAACAACTGATGAAGCAGAATTAAATCCTTCATTAATGCACTATTATTGTGTCAAAAACCTGTTGTGGAATATGCCAACCAAAACACCAAACTGGAGAGGTTTAGGTACCAGAATCACAGTTTATGTGTAATTTTTCAGTTTAGTGGTATTATTTGGGGCTGATGGTAGATTTAACACTGATGCATATAACAATGCCAGTGGTGTTGTATGGGGCTGGGATTGCAAAGATTTTTCAGGGGAATATGAATTTAGGTCCCTCAGCCGGACACAATATCGGGGCCAGGGGAAGTGGCAATGTCCCAGGAGCATGCTTGACTTCATTTACATGCATAGGATCTAATCTTCCTGCTTTATGTGTAGCGGCAGCAGAAGACAGCTTGTGGCCTCTCATCCAGCAACTACCAGCCAGTGTGGTGTAGTGGTTAAGTGTGGTGGACTCGTAATCTGGTGAACCGGGTTCGCTTCCCCGCTCCTCCACATGCAGCTGCTGGGTGACTTTGGGCCAGTCACACTTCTCTGAATTCTCCCAGCCGCACTCACCTCACAGAGTGTTTGTTGGGGGGGAGGGAAAGGAGATTGTTAGCCGCTTTGAGACTCCTTAAGGGGAGTGAAAGGCGGGATATCAAGTCCAAACTCTTCTTCTTCTTCTTCTCCCCCCCCCCCCATGACACAGACATGCACACTTCCCTGAATTCCTCTGGAATGACACATTGAATATCTACGTATAACTTGTCCAAAATTATCTTGTTTTGTATCTTGTATTGTACATGTCTTTTATTATTATTATTTTATCCCATGAGCCACCTAGAATCAGAAAAGCAGCCTATAAATATTTTACAATAAATAGCTGTTTCATCTTCCATTCCATAGGCATGAGATAGGGATGGAAGGGGGCAGAATGGCAATTGGAAAGTTCCTTTGCTGTGCCTGTTGGTGCCACAGACCCCCTTCCTTCCTTCCTGAATAATAATAATAATAATAATAAAGCACCACCACAGTAAGCATGTTAACCCTGTGAATTGGGAAGAGTTATGTTTCAGAAGGGGCATTTATAACTTGGATAAATTCCTTCCCCTCACCCCACTCACAAGACCTGTCGATGACAAGAAAACTTTTGTGGAAATACTACTTTTTTGTGTGACAACAGAAGGAAAACCAGAAAAAGGCATATTGAGCCTTAACCTTTAATGTCCCTTAATGTAACCAAATTACATAGTCAGAGATAGATAACTTCTGTCCTAGGTACTTTATCTAGTAAAATCTCCCAAGTGCTATATTTTTACAAAGGCTAACTTCTCAAACCTCATGACACATTTCATTAGTATCCTAGGGGGGTTGCTTAAGTATATTATTAGAATGACTCATTTTTCTGTCCAGCTAATCTCTGTAGCCTGGATATTGTAGCAATAATTGACAGATAAAGATAGGTTAACGCAAATGTGCCTTTTCTGTAGAGATTAGGAAGTGCAAACTTACTGCTTTTCTGTTGTTGTTGAGTACCCATAATGGAGTATGTTGCCATGTCCCTTTCTGTCCTTTACAAGCATTATCTGTAATAATAGTTTATAAAAAGTTTGGTGTCATTGCTGTGGAGATGGGAGTGGGGCAGCTTGAAACTTAAAAACAACCTTTTCAGCATTTACTCATTTAAAATCATTGCCGTTGGCCATTGCTTTCTGTTACAGCTCATTCTCTTTTCCTAATTTCAAGTAATGAATAGTGATGAGTTTTTATCAGATTATGCAGAATCTGTGAGGAACGGCTCATAGAACCATTTCTCTCTGCACATGTCCGAAATAGAAAACTATATCCTAAGTTTGTTTATAAGGAGCATATCAGAAATGTACCCACTGTTTCATTTCCTGCATTTCATATACCCAACTCCAATTTTCTGCCATTTTTATTGAAAGCCCACTTCAGTGCATTATCCAAGCTCTTGCTAGCAAACAAAATCTCTGAGATGACATATCCATTATTGGGGATGATTGAGGCAATGGCATCAGCTAACTTCCTGAAACAGACATCTCCAATAGAGTAATAGCTATCAGTTAGATAGATTATAGTATGATAAGAAACAAGCAAAACATGAACAAATAATACTTGTATAAAGGAAAAGCACATAGTAACCCATTACAAGCACAGCACAGACATCCTCCCATGCTTTCACACCTGATTAAATCCCAGGGTTGTAGCAGAAAAAGGAAGAAATGAGCCGAAGTGGAATGGAGGACAGGAAATAGGCAGAGTCTCTAAACAGTATCATCCACCAGTGATTGTCCACCGGCAGAAAGGACTTCTGCTTGGACAAGAGGGCTTCCCCATTCTCTCTTTCCTGCAGACTCTCAGAAGCTTCTCTGGAGGATTCACGGACCTTCAGGAGCAGATTGGGGGGGGGGTACTCAGGGACCTGCACAGAGTGGAGTCCATCTACAAATAAATGATCAACACAGATTCATTTATTACTACCCAGTGCTGGGAATAGACACAACATTGCTTTCAATAAATCACCACCACAAACAAATTTATTATTCTCCCGCAGAAGACAGTATGCTGAAACGTAGTGGACATACTGTTTCTTTTGATAACTGTTTATAGCCTGAGCATTATTTTGAGGCTTTGCACTTTACCATACCACTTATTTAGTATGATGCAATATCAGTCCCACCTAGTTGTTTTCAATTGAGAGTAAATGGCCCTTCAAGAAAAGCTTGCCAGGCTTTTCAGATACCTGAGGTCCTATTTGCTGCTCCCCTCCCACTAAGGACCTTATGCAAGTCCCTTAAGTGGAGCCCATTTACAAGGACAGCCATTGCATTAATGAGTCATTTGAAAATTGCTATCCAACTCCAATATAAAAATCCAGCATGATAAAAAACTAGTAGGAGGTAGTAATGTTGCCTCCTTTTGAATCCTAAGCTCCTAGCTTATTGCTGGGCATAAAGAGGCTGCAGTGGTTAAGGCAAACCTTAACTTTAAGGCAGGAGTTTTGACATATGACCATGGATGGTGTAGAACAAATGCATAACAGGACTTGGGAATTCAATTTTTTTTTGTTTCTGAAATTAGTCCCTATTCCTTTCACTTCCCCAGTTGTCATAGATTCTTTGTTCCTGTTGTTCCCACAGGGAGCAGCTTCATCCCTTCACCTTTGTGCTATGTGGTTTGGTCTATGTGGTGAGAATACCACAGGGAACATGCAAAGCACAATAAGCACCACTATCACAGTGCCAAGAAAAAGCAGCAGAAATATGTTGGTGGAAGAAGATAAAGCCACCTGACTTTGCATGTTTTTATCCTCTCTGCATGATGAAAGCACCACTCAGAGATAGAATCAGCACAAAAAGAACCTAGGAAACCATCCTTTTGTAGAATAAAGTGGTAACAGAGAAAGAAAATGAAAACATCACACTCTGCCTAGTCTTGGAAATGTTAAAATGCATCCTGCAAATTCTGGTTGTTGGTGGGTTTAACCATTAGGCAGAACACTTACAGCCTACTTTGCAGCATGCTTGTATATGCTGCTCTCTGTATGCTGTGCATTTGAAAAGTTAAGCCACTTCAGCCTTCTCACCCAAGGCCATGTTGAGCATCTGCAGTCACAACTCTTTTTTCTGCATAAGAGGTGTGCAGGTGTTAAGCTGCCTTTGACACAAGGGATTTTGCTTGTATCACTTATATGGATTTGTGCATTTACATTTTAAAGCCCAAGTCTTTAAAATGTTATCACACTAATACAGGAGGTCTTTCACTTCACCAGACTCTGAAAGCTGCTCTCACATGTAATGAAAACTTTTGTATGGCATTATGTTTAAGCTACCCTGTTCCTGCACTCAATTAATACATCTACCTTTATAAAAAGGGCACCTTCTGGTTTGAGTGAGTCATGCCTCCTTTTTCTCTTGAATGTTCGAGGCATTTCCAGGCATGGGGGCTTGCGAGTGTCAGGTATACTCTATCAGACACTCACAAGCCCAAACGGGATTGCACTGATCCCTGCAGGAAAAGCCTGGGTCACTTCAGCACAAGGATACAGTCGTACCTTGATTCTCGAATGTAATTAATTTTGGAAGTCCTTTTGACTTCCAAAATGTTCGAAAACCAAGGCGTGGCGTCCGACTGGCGCAGGCACCCCAGAAACAATAGCCAACAGCCACATCAGACGTTCGGCTTCCAAAAAACGCTCGAAAACTGGAGCGCTTACTTCCGGGTTTTCGGCGTTTGGAAGCTGAAATGTTCAAATACCAAGGCATTTGAGAACCAAGGTTCCGCTTTGGAAACATTTGGTTTCCTCTTTAGAAAAGCAAACACCCAATCAAGTGAGCTGCCACAGGGTGGGAGAAGACAAGGAGATAAGAGGGCATCGGCTGGTAAAAGATTAGAACTATGTATTGTAGTGGCAGAGGACCCCTACTCAGAAGAAAGTTCTGTTGTGTTCAGTGGGATTTGCTTCCTAATAAGTGTGTTTAGTATCGTTGCTTAAATATGGCCGTGGGGAAAAGGTATTATAGTGCAAACCTTGTCTTGTAGAAACGGTCATGTGGAGACCTGTACAGGCAGACAAGGTATTCTATCCATATGAAGCCACATGGAGACTCCAGTTATATGAAATGGGCCCTAGGTTTTTTCCCCTGTTCCCAGTAGCTATCATGCATAATGAATAGAAATCCCACACACAAATTTACTTCTTGTGCAAAAGCTAGTTTAGAAAAGGGTGTGTATTCTTTTTTAAAGTGTTTTGCAAGTCCTCATTCATTATTATTTTTTCCACTGTATGATTTAAACTTCAAAAAGGTTTTTAATGCACAAGGAGGGGTTGCCATGTTGATAAAAACCACTTTGATGCTAGCAACAACACCTTCTGGAGGAAACATGAAGAAAATCTTGCTAATGAATTTGTATGAAGAAGTACAAGTTATTAAAGCAAGCATAGCTCAGTGCATGTGTAGATTATAAATGAGGGTGGCAGAAATTTTAAACTCAATTCACACTAAGCGTACGTGATGTTATGGCACAGTTCACTACATTAAGCTGTTTCATTTGCTAGCGTAGTAATGTTCATGTATTGATAGCTGAACTGTAAGAATCCTCTCTCTTGAAAAGCAGGAAACATTGTTCATTGATGCAACAAAGGGTAATAACAAAGCAAGATGTCACACTACTTTTATTTGCATTTTAGGTCAGCCTCAAAACATGTAGATAAAGACCTTGGAAATATAGAGGAAAACAAAAAGTTAGAAGAAAACAATCACAAATCGGAAGCTTGAGAACTTGTCAGTCACCACCATTCCAGGTAGGTGTGAACAACTTCATAATGTCGTCTATCTGTACTCTGTATATGATTTGAATGGCTTTTAGTCTCTGCATTGCTGAAGTGTTTGTACTATTTACACATCAAGATGAACCTAGGTTTATCTGCTCAACATTTGGAAGGCCTTCAGAAACGCTTTCAGTTGCTTGGGGCTTTCTGTGGTGGTATTTGGAAAACAGACAACGGTTATCACCTCACCAAGAGACAAACTGTTATCAATAGTATCTTATCAATTGTTATCAATAGAATCTGTTATCAATAGAATCTATCTTGGACTTCCTAAGACCTCTAAACACTTTAGCACCACACTGTTCACTAAAATAACACACACTGTTCACTAAAATAACGGAAGCAACTCCAGGGCTAAGTATAAACTCCTGGATGTCTTCTAGGTCAACCAGTGTGCCTGTTTTGACTGGATATGAACTCCTGGTTCAAACAGGCCACTCTGTCCACCACCAATCACTGCAATTTATCTATATGTCTCTGTACACCAGGGGCTCAGTGCTATTTGTTTAATCTTTTTCTCGAAGGACAAAAGTTCCAAAGAATATCTAGCCATGACAGATTACAGGTGGGTTGTGCTGCTTCAAAGCAGTAAGTTGGACTGGGTTTGTTCTGACGGCAGTTCTATACCACTGTGAAGAGACTTTCTTTTCAGAAGCCCTGTGCTAGCAGTCTCCAGAAGCAAAGTATGAATAGTTTTTTGGTCCAAAAAAAATAATCTGGAAACATTTCAGAATGAGTAACACTGGGACCAAGACTCAAGAGTTAGACTGTGTACATTAAAATTACATCCTGGGCTAAGTGTAGTCTACCGCTTACAGAGCTGCAATTTCTAGCACACTTTACAATCTACAGTTACCAATATTGGGGGTGGGGTGGGGGAAGGATGCTTTAATTGTATGCAAGATAAGACAAAGAGCTAAGGCAAAAAAGAGAATGCAGTCAATGTTTAGGAAAGCCTCAGGAACAGAGCCTCGGGCAATAGGGCCAGCACTGACCGAGGGCTTGCTCAGCACTGTCATGGCACCTTTGTAACTTTTCAAAAGTCAGTCGAAAGATTCAAAACCATTTATGATTTTGGAAAAAAAAATTAAGACTTGCTGGTGAATTATAATGCACTCTTCATTGTTGTGCGTTTCACGGTGTTCTATGGTAGCCTTCATTTATTTCTTCCTTTTTTATTTTTATGGCATGCATTTTATGTGGGAAAACTAATATCCCTCGCCTCGCCCCCCCATTTGTGTATTATCATCAACATATAAGTTCATCTTGACTGACCTTGTTTTTTCTCATTTTCAGAGAATAAACATAGACCAACTGAAGCATGAACATGGATTGTATTTAAGATATATACAAAGACATGACAGCTATTCATGGTTCAAGTATTACACAGATCATTCTATCAAGTTTTCGGAGGAATTTACACAGTTATCTCAAGCTTACAAAAATATCAGCAAAACTAATTTTGGCGGCAGCCGTGATAATAGGTCACAAGTTTGTGTTCTGTTTGAATATCTTTTTTCTTTTTTTTCTTTTTTTGTAAATGTCTGCACTGAAGATTTCTTTTGGTTTGCCTTTATGTAAATTTTTTACGTAGCTATTTTTATACACTGTAAGGCTTTGTTCTGGGAGTCGCTGGTAATCTGATGTATAGTGTAATGTTTTTATTTCCATTGTTTTTTGCACCCTTTAAAGAGGTACATTTCTAATTCTGATTGCTATCAGTAAAGCTCTTACTTTGCACAGCAAGTATCTAATTTATAAGATTGCCTTATGGGAAAATGAGACACTTCTCTCTATGTTTTTCAATAACCACTAAAGGAAAAAGGGGGGAATAAATCTGTAAAAAAAAATAAGTAAAAGCAAACTAACCGGTTTTTGAAATAATGAACACCTGCTCAACTACAAAGGACATGTATATAATTTACAAAAGGAGAGTAAGGTATTAAACAAGATTCATGTTGTCATGTATACAGATGTCCTACTAACAAGTCTTTTTTAGACAGGAAAATCTTTTTATTGATAGCATTCTGGAAAACTAATTGTTATTGCAATTCCATGATATATAGTGTGAATGACTGAAATTAAGAATTAGTTCTGAAATATTTTTGTTATCCACTGCCTTAAATATTATCTATCTTTTTATTTTAAAAGAAAAAAAGATCAGTTGAAATTGGAAGTTTTTGGGTTTTTTTAAGTGGTCATATCAAAGCTGCATTTTTCCACAAAATAGAATATATATTTTTGTGTGTGTGCGTTTTTGTTAACTACACTACAGATATTGCACCTTGAGATAATTTTAGTGTTTTTAACTGGTACATAATTTATCAAAAAAAGTACATGAAATTGTAACAATGAAATGAAATCTATGTATCTTTAGTTACATTCAAGATTGTAACTTTATAAACCTGTTTTATGCTTGAGAATTTTTTTAGAAAGTTAGCATAAAAAGAAACATTTGAATAGATCGGGGCAAATAGACAGCAGTATTTAGCAGTGCTCTTTTAGCGGAAGAATAGCATCTGGGAGAATGTGCTAGATAATTTTTGATAACGGCAGGAAAATATTACTGGAATGGAAGTTTCTGTTTACAGATTTACGAGCCAGGAAAACAGGAAGATTCTGTAGATTGTGGGGAGTTTAAGAAGAAGAAAAATGGAGATGGAAATTAGGAAATGTATTTTGCCACTTAGGGGGGAAAAACACTGTTGTAAATTTGTAAAATGTTAAATGTCTGGGCAGTAGTGACTGATGTCTTAAATAAAAGCTTCCTGTAGTGTACTGGCATGGATTAAATACATGAAATGTCCTATAAATTCAATACTGTATAAAATATTACAGAAAAAAACTGTTAAAGTCCTCTCTGCATTGGTTAAGGCTTTATTTGGCAGGGGAACAAAAAAATTAATCTTGGTCAATGTTTAAACCAAAGTTAAAAGGGGGATAAAACCAAAGTCATTTGTTTTGCATGGCAAAGCCATTTATGATGTCTTTGTAAATACTGTGGTTTGTTTTTTTCCTTTCTCCTTTTTCTTTTCTTTTTTTTTTAGAATTTTGTTTTGTTTTAAAAAAAATCTAAAATTTTTAAGCACCTGTTTTCCAAAATAAAATGTGAACACACACAAAAAAAGATTATATATAATTTTGTTTTGGCGTGAAGACATCATTGCTTATAAGAGAAGATTCAATTGGTGTGAGTACAGTAAAGGGAAAAGACTTGCACTGCAATATCATGTCTTTTAAGTTTTATGAAACATAAGGATACAAAAGTAGTCCCACTAACAAAAGGATCTCTCCTGATCTGTAAGAGAGCCATGCAACTGACCAGACTTGAAAAGAGTGGACACCAAAAAATGAAAGTGCTCAACTTCTGCATCCAGTGTCATTATGGGAAACCAAACTCTCACCTTTTGAATTTCTACTGGCCATTCCAATGTAATTCTTGGGGGGGTGTTTCTTCACTGTTGACATCAGACATGTTTCAGGAATCAACAGTACAAATTAATTGTTGCAATTCATGCCTGAAAGACAATAAAAGTGAAGTATGTTTTCACATTCCTGTCTGACATTTCAGTTCAAGTGGGATATTCATACCTGCATGAAATAGCTCAGTAATTTGGTTAATCAGTGCTCCAAAACGGGATGTCCTGATTTAACTGGGGCAGTAGAGCAGTGTGTTTTGATATTGCATGCATGCATGCATGCAACTATGGCTGGATGGAAAATGGCTTCTTTGACTTCCCTTTCATTCTGTGATTAAAGAATGAGTCTGACTCATGGACAGAAGACAGGGTAAATGCTCAGACGAGGCATTTGCTGTTTGTAAGTGGTAACAGATGACAAGGGAAAAAATTGTTAAAAATTAAGAAACTTAAAAATGGGCAATGTTAAATGCAGTTATTAAAAAGATTGTAGGAAAAGGAAGTACCACATTTGCAAGTAGGCGGGTTTGGAGCGACAGGAGGAAGAGAATGGATTAGGCCTTGGAAGTACAGAAGAAGAGTTTGGATTTGATATCCCACTTTATCACTACCCTAAGCAGTCTCAAAATGGCTAACAATCTCCTTTCCCTTCCTCCCCCACAACAAACACTCTGTGAGGTGAGTGAGGCTGAGAGACTTCAAAGACGTGTGACTAGCCCAAGGTCACCCAGCAACTGCATGTGGAGAAGCAGGGAAGCGAACCCAGTTCACCAGATTACGAGTCCACTGCTCTTAACCACTACACCACACAGGGCAATGAAATGGGGCACAAAGCTAAAAATGGGGCTGTGAGGCTTCCTCTCTATTAGGAAAGTGACTTTGAATCACTTGAACCAGGTTACAACCTCCAACTTACCAACTGTCGTCACTCGAGCTCCATACAGGAACAGGAAATATTCACAATGGGAGTGAGACTGGGTATGCCATGCAAATCAGCCTCACTGTCCCCAATGCTTTCTACCCACTTCTGCTTGAATGAGAGTAGAACTCTCCCTGCAACCAGAAACCCAGATAAAGCAAGCTTCCCAATTGTGCAGCAAATTCTACTCATGTTGAAACGAATGGGCATAGAAGCCCCCTCCAGACTTTTGAAGCAGGAAAGTTAGGGGCTCAGCAGACACAGATGTTGATGAAATGGGCGCCATGTGCCACCCAAGGCTCCTTACACAGCTTGTTCCTTGTTCAAGCATATACAGCCTTTGGGAGCAGGGCCTCAGGCTCCTAGCTAGAGTGCTACATCTTGCTTGGACATAAGGCCTGAACAGGATTTCAGCCTTTTTCAAAAATAGATGGCTCAATAATTCTCAATAATTTAGTGCCTTTATCTAGCTCACTCTCTAGTCTACTGCATTTTGCACCTTTTCTCAGGGCAGCCTACACAATGGCATTGTATCTACTAAAAGCAAACTCGGTGTTCCAAATTCTGCTCCTTACATAGCCAAAATGGTGCAAGAGAGAGTGGTCAGCTGGTTTTGGAGAAGTGAAAAATGGAGGAGGAGGAGGAGGGGGAGGAGGAGGAGGAGGAGAAGAAGAAGAAGTAGTAGTAGTGTGAGGGGCTGAGCCTGTCAAGAGAGAAATATAGAGTGAATGGAATAGTGCCCTAGAAGGCAGCACTGATGGATTAGCTGTAACGCTGAACAGGAACACACCACACTACACCATTTTGTTGCAGAACATAGTAGTATTCCATATAAGCCTATGGCCACACTAAAGATGTCATTTTGATCCATGCTGCTTTTGCGTCTATCTGCTCCCCCTTTGCATCCTGTATCCTTAATGTATTGGATCAATCTATGGTTAATCAGACTCTTCCCCAGGGATGCCTGGCAACAGGGCTAATTTTGATTGCCCTCCTCCCATCAGTCTCCAATAACTCTGGCAAGAACTGTGAAATTGTGTATCCACAAGTATCGATTGTATTTGCTTTTAACAAAACACTGTCTGTATTCATTACAAGCCCGAGTGGTCTTTGAGTTATTTCTCTTTGATCCAGATTATGGGATTTCCCCATAAAAACTGAAGTGATGGGAGAAGTTGCAGCTGGTCCGATTTCCCCACCTATGCAAGTTTTAAAGGCACAGAAACCCATGTGGCTTTTATTATAATTAAGTTTTATATTATTTATATTCTGCTACATTCCACAGACTCAGAGCTGCTAACAGCAGGTTGTACTAAATGTTAATAGTGCTGCAAGTTTAAGTGGGATTGGGTGATAGTTTCTTTGGAGCTCTGCCTAGGAGGGAGATAGTTCCTCACTCCCAGGAGGTCTCTGAGTCTTTCCAGCGAATCGGAAGATTCACAGAAAGGGGCTCCCTTGGTCAGAGCAAGGGGGTGCCGAGGGGACACCCCAGGAAGAAGGGGCCAGAGGGGACTCAGAGAGCAGCAGTTGGAAATCAGGACCAGCGTCCACACCAGAGTGCAGTAGGGGAGGAGTCCCAGGCATCGGGATCAGGCGGCGCACTGCCAGTGGGAGGACATGAGTCAGGATTGGCCACGCCTCCATCGGGGAGCGAGGAAACGGTCGAGAGGAAGGTTGAAGGCTGGGCGCGCGCGCAAAGTTCAAATGTACAGGAGGGCGGCGCAGTTGGCAGCCCGGATAGGGAGCCAGGTCCCAAAGCCCGCCGAAAGAGGGGAGGAGTCAGGAGGGTCAGCGTCAGAAGAATCCAGGAAGGAAGGGACCCCGGGGGGTAGCAGGACCCAGAGGAGAAAGGAGAGACGTAAGAGGTGGAGTAAGGCTAGAATCTTAAACTGGTGTACAGGGGGCGGTGACTCATATGGTTCTTCGGCGATCTTTCCCCTAGTAGTAGAGCTGGGGCGCTCCGGCTTGAAAATGGAAACTGTACTTC